CCCCCCCAAAAAAGTAAAGTTACAAATAAAAAAAGATTTTTTTTTTTTCTTCAAAGTCCCCCCCATACATACACGCATGCAAACAGGCGTCGGGTGCGCATATGTGCGAAAACGACGATTTTGCCCATTTCGCCGCACATGTTGCATATCGTCGCGAACGTCGGAATGAGAGCAATAGTTCTAGGGCCATCAATCACCGATAACCCTAAACTGATGAACTGTAAAAGCTTTCAAAACGTCGCCTATGGCCAATTTTGGGTATGGTTGTTTTTTGCAAAATTCGCGGGTGCGCGCAATTTTAAAGCATGACATGTTTGGTGTCTATTTACCCGACGTGACCCCGTCTTTAATATTTTACCACAAATATGGGTAATAATCATTGTCTCCTAATATAATGGGGAAAAAACTTTTTTTCCCACACAATTTTCAATAATTTTTCCTTTTAATATAGTTAAAAAAAAAAAAAACCCCAGCCGTGATTAAATACCACCAAAGGAAAGCTCTATCTCTCCCCAAAAAATGGTATAAAATTCATTTCAGTGCAGCGTTGCATGACGGAATAAACCTAGGGCTGCAACAACTAATCGACATAATCGATTATAATCGTTTATTGAAAAAGTTGTCAACTTTTTCAATCATCGGTTAATCGGCTTCCGATTGGTTGGCCCTGTTCACACACACTCCACACACGCTGCACCTCACCTCCTCCCCACCTCACGCTCGCCGCTCCCCGCATCTACGTTCCACGTGCCGCACCTCCTCCCCACCTCACGCTCACCGCCTGCCCAAATCCACGATCAGCACAGGGACGCGGGGAGATGTAGTAAGGAGGAGCAGGTGTGGGCTGATGACAGCCGCCGATAGACAGGCCTGATCTCAGAAACCAAGTTGCTGGAAGACTGCACAGCTAAGCCTGCACTTTCCCACACATGGTGCTCTATAATGTATTGCTGGGATAGTGGGATTCGTATTCCTCTATAGCTGATGGTACATTGTGCTTTATATTATACAGAGCAATGTACCATCAGCTATAGAGGACTACAAATCCCAGCAATACATTGTACACTGTATGCATAATGTATTGCTGGGATTTGTTGTATTCCTATATAGCTGATGGTATTCTGCATTGCGCTGTATGGAGGACTACAAATGCCAGCAATAATACATTATACAGCACAATGCGGAATACCACCAGCTATAGAGGTTTAAGTTTAATTACAATGTAGTTTTTTGTTTTGTGTTGGTTATATATGTTAGATATTCTTAACCCCTGAAGCAGATACTGTGCACTATGGAGGTTTTTACTAGCCCTGTGTTTACACCATTTCTAGGAGGCCGTGCAGAAGATGCTGGATGAAGCAGAGAGTCAGGTAAGATATATATGGCATTATCTGGCCTTGGTGAAAAATACAAGTATGGTGATATTGCACGGATAAGTTAAAGCAAATCTAGGCTCAGACTTTGTTTTTGGTAATGTGGGTTCAGTTTCAGTTCTCTACTGGGTATGATAAACACCTTAACCTCTTGCCGTCCGCCCGTAGTAGAAAAACGGACGGACGGCACTGCTGCATCTGCGGGTTGCCGTCTCCAGACGGCAATTTTTTTCTGCTCGCGCGCGCCCCCTTGCGGGCACGCACGGGCAGAAAAGACCCGACAATGCACACACCCGGTACCGGGTGTCACACATATAGGCGATCAGCGGGTCCATAGCCCGCCGATCGCCTATATGTGCTCGTTCGCGGCTAACCCAAACCCGCGCCCGGTCGGCGCTTCAGGTTTTTTTTTCCTCCTTCCTATAATGGCCTGGATGGGAAGGGGGTTTAACACCGCGGATGTCAACTGGTTAAAGTGCACCTTTACCCCTTTTCACTAAAACGCACATCAGCATTCAGCTCAGCATGCTGATATGAAATCATCTTATATTCATTAGTAAACATGCTTTTCTTTTACTTACAATTAATGTTTTCCCACATCCTGGTCCTCTTAGGCTCGCCATACACCTATCAATTCTTTTAGTTCAACCTGCGAGCTGAAGGAGAAAAATTGTTGCGATTTCCTCCATCAACACAAACGGCCGCTGGCACCTGTCAGAATAACCGATCAGAGCAGGCTGCTCATTGGCTGCTGGCTTTGATAGTACTAAGAGTTTGCAGCCGGCTCCTACGGTCAGCTAATCGAGGAATGCAGACTGAAAGGGAGCTGACAGCCCCACACGTTGTGCATATTCCTGAGATCTCGCAAGATTTTACAGTTCACAGATGAGATTTCTCAGCAATGCACATGCACTGGTGATATAACCTTCCCGTGATGCATCTCTTGGCATGGACTACATCACTAATGCCTAAAGGTGCCCATACACTGGCCGAATTTCGGCCGGTACATTAAAAAGCGTACCTGTGTTGTTGGAATTTTAAAGATAAAAGATAATTATCATTTTTTTTTTTTTTATGATGGTAAAGATAATACCTTTTGACATTCATAGTGTTTGCAAATAAAACAAGTCACTTCTTTATCCTTAATAACAGTATAATCACAGAAGAATATTAAACAAGAAAATAGGTTACACCTCTTCATTGGCTGATGGCATGTCATTGTTTCCTCCACAGTTAGAGAATGGTGGCACATGGCGCAATCCAGAGGCACCGGAAGGTTATGGCACAGAAAAAGACAGAGCTAATTGCCCGTTTTACCTCAAAACTGGAGCCTGTAGATTTGGTGAAAGGTAATTTGTAAAAACAGATATTAATTCATTGTAGAAGTTACAAGTATTATGGACCTTTTAATCCTCAAAAACATGTTTTTTTATGCAGTCAATGTGCCTATGATTCCAGGCTTGCTATAAATGTACACATTGAATTCTGCTACACCTCATCTTTTATTTATTATAGGTATTTATATATTGCCGTCAATTTACGCAGCACTTTACATACAAGAACTTTCACATCAGTCCCTGCCCACAAGCTTACAATCTAAGGTTCCTATTGCACATGCAAAGGATCCTTCAGTAAATAAGGCATTAAATTTTTGGCTTGGAATAGTCTACCTTGGGAACAACTATAATTTTCTTGCCATTTTCTAAAGCTTGTTGCATAATTCTCTGTAGTTTCCAATATTCTCATCTTCTAAATGGGCATTAAATTGGGCTGTAGACTTATAAGCCAGGGCTTTCTCTCTGAGCCCACTGCAGCTTCATCTATTCATATTGGAGATTGAAAGGGAGGTTCTGCTAGGTCCTGTCACATTTGGCTGCACTCAGTCACTCCTAGAGGCATTGTGAAGCTCTAATCATTCCCTGCAATCTCCAAACCGAAATATAGTCTCATGTTGATGAACATTGTTTTCCTGCATTTGACATGTGCATGCCAAATGCAGGTCATCAAAACCTATTTGTGCAGTATGCATGGCAGTTCCGGGGCTGCATTTCAGCTGCTTTACCGTGTGTTTTAACTGCAGGAAATGCGGATCAGACGCAGCCTTTTCTGCATGTGCCATTTAAACACATGCATTTGAATAGCAAACACAGCTTTTGGGCTTTAAGTAGGGATGTCCCGATACCATTTTTTCAAGACCAAGTACTTTTCCCTCAGGTACTTGCCGATACCAATTGCCGATACTTTTCCTTAAAGTGGCATGTGACTTTTTTTCTAATACAATACAGACTAATGATTTTAGGGCAGTTTCTTTTTAATTATGAAGAACTGTAACTCAAGCTATGATTATTCTTGTCCTGATACAAAAAATTATTTTAACCAAAACCGTATTTAACTGTGCTAAGAAGCACTTCTCATTGATCAGCACAGTCACCTGACTGCACTGACCGAGTGATTGCAATTTCTGAGTGAGATTCGAAGTGCACTGGACGGCAGTTTGAGGTACAGATAGTATACCCATACCGGCGGAGGGGAAGGACCATGCACCAAGAGGTAAGTATAGTGAGGGGGGTGGGGGGGGGTGGGTAAAGTTGGCACAATATGGCACACAGTGGAATGAGGGCAGAACTCAGTGCGCACACACTGTCCTACGCATGCGTTCACACGCAGATGGCGGGGGCTAGTTTGTTTTTATTTGTATTTAATTTTTTTATCACTTTTTTGTTAATTTTTATTTTGTATTTTTTTTAAATTTTTTAAAATCTTTTTTTTTAAACTTTTTTTATCACTTTTTTAAATTATTTTGTGTTTTTTCATCACTTTTTGTATTTTTCACTTAACTAGATTGATATCACACAGGAGCCAAGCCCCTATGTGATATAATTCGGAGGTGACTTTATGAGCCTGCTATCCAATACAGAAATACAGAAGATAGAGCACAATGCTGTGCACAGCTGACACGGGAAGCACTGTGAATACAACGCTCCTGTGTCACTGATCACAGAGCGGAGAACGGACGTTCTCCACTCTGCTCCCTGCTCTCCATCCTGAATTGCTTTGCTGTGGTCCCATGTCCCCCAGAAGAGCGGAGGAGCCTGAAAGCCATGGCAGGGAGGGGGCGGACCATGGGGGAACAGACCTTGGATGGAAGGTGCTGGCGGGGTGGACAGATGAGCAGGCGAACATGTACATGTGATCCGGGCGAATCACTTGTACAAGCAGCCCGAACCTATTTAAAAATGTAAAGCCCGGCATCAGCACTATGTATCGGGGCATTTTCACAACTACAGGTACTCATGCAAATGCCTTGTATCGGCCCTGCAACTAGTACCGGTATCAGGACATCCCCTTTCTTTAGGTATCGGTAAAGAAGAAGGCAAATATTAATGTTTTATAAGTAAGATCACCCAGTTGTGATAAGTTAAACTGAATATTTAGTTTCTTGTATAAGCCCAGTCATGACTGGTTCTCTTTACACTTGTGGCCTGAAGTTGCAGTTTCAATTATTCTTAAGTTATATTTGTCCTCATAAGAAGGTAAGCTATTTCCTAGAGTTGTTGACACTCTTCTTAGCATTTAAACACGAAGGCACTCCGATTTTGGGAGATGCAAGTGGGTTCTATCACTCTCTCACTTTTCCATATGTCAGGGCCTCCAGTGGCAAGATCAATGACCTGAGATTTGGGGCCTGATGCAGCTATTACATGGAGGTCTTCTGTTACCCGTCAGATTTAGAATTTATGAATAATTTAGCAAGGGGTGTGAGAGTTCATGACGGGCTATAAGATTCTAGCGATTCAGATCTCGAGTGGGCTGACTCTGTAAACTGCCTTATGACTTTTTAATATTACCCTTGATGATCCATGTCGGTTTCTGCACCTTTTTTCTCATACACAGATGCTCCCGCAAGCACGGCTACCTTTCCTCAAGCCAAACCCTCCTTATCCGTAGCATGTTTATTACATTTGGTATGGAGCAGTGTCGACGGGATGATTATGACACGGACGCCAGCTTGGAATATGGAGATGAAGACATTTACCAGCAGTTTTTAGAATTCTATGATGACGTTATACCGGAATTCAAGAGCGTTGGACAAGTCGTCCAATTCAAGGTAAACCTCTGCACAGAAATATTGTTAAAAATCATTTGTGCTTTACTGATTAGAAGGAGTGTTGGAAAGTTCAATGCAATTCTAGGTGTGTCCTGCTGGTGTCAGTCACGCAGCAAACATAACATTTCTAAGCAGTGTTCTGTAAATAAAGGGCGTTGCATTGATACTGTAAGCTCTATGCCCACAATCAGTTTTAACTAAGCTTTGGCTGGCAAGCACTGCCTCCTGGTTTTCACCTTGGGAGACCTTTTAGCTTTTTTTCACATGCATATTGCAGACTTGACAAGTTTGTCAAAGATTCCCTCCAGACAATATATTTGCTCGAGGGCAGAAAATAAAGAAGTAATAAACAGTACCTGTGATTTTGTATGTTGGAATTGTATGCATCAAAATAATTTTTTTCATAAAAATGCATCGGGATCTTTATTGGCACACACAAACTCAATATAATCTCAAAAATAACTACGGGATGTAAACATCAAATCAATAAATCACAAATATGTGTAGAATTGGAAGGCCTGTGTAAATCGAAGGTACACATTTTTCAGTATGCACTAAAAACCTTTCCTAAAATTCTATTGTTAATGTTCTTCGTAATCCTCGCTGTTCATTGCGATAGGGTCTTGTTTATATCTGCGGCATAATTGCATGTATATGTACTGTATTTGTGTATGTTTTATAAAAAAAAGTATTTTTTTCTATATTTAAAAGCTTTCCTTTATGTTTTTACTTTTGTCCGCCTGCCAGTTTTTCAGGCGGGCCCGCTTGGATGCCCATTGTGAGTCTGTGGGCACCCCGTAATCCCCGCCTCCGGCCAGGTCCGGAAAAACAAACGGATGAGGGATCTGTTTTGCAAGACAGTATCGTGCACATGTCCGTTTACATCTGATTCCCCATAGACAGACATGTGGTCCGGTAATTGCAGTTTTTTCCTTCATTGCAAGATAGAGGAAAAAAACTGTACGGACCCGGATGTCACAGCGGTGATCACCGCTCCGTACTGCTGTGATCAGGACAGGATCCATGCACGGATTCTCTCAGGATTCAGAGAGGTATTTAGGCACTAGCTCTGCAATGGGCTAATGTTGTGTCTGCAAGCCAACTTTCTGTGTGTACAAGAGCTATAATACTGTTTGTTTCCTGTTGCTGACCCAGACCGTCTGACTCCTCTTCACCTGTTGCCTGCCTTGATCTTCTGGCTGAACCCGATTATGCTCCTGTCTCCTGCCTTTCCCAATACTCGCTGCCAATCTGAACCATCTGACCACTTTGTTAGCTGCCTGCCTCGACCCCTGCCTTGATCCGACTATCCTCTTGTTGCCTGACCTTGTCTCCTACCTACTGGCTGCTGACCTGGACTGTCCGACCATTCTCTGGCTCTCTTGTCTGGATCTCTACCCTTTTCCTGGCCACACTCTAGTTTACTGTCTCCTCATTGGAACCCTCCTGTTCTCCTGGTCCATCCTGTCCGGGAGAGTGTGTGCGCTCTCCCTGACAGGATGGACCAGGAGCCAGCGGTGGTAAATAGGAACAACTGCATGTGCCTTTGGCTACATGAAGTAGTGGGGAATGTTTACTAGGCTGCTTAGAATAAAGTTGTTAAAAAAAAATAGGAATGTTTATTACTACTTTGATCTGATAAGGTGTCATTGCTCTGGCTGCTTGCAATTCTGTTCTAATCGTCACCTTTCTCTTTGTCGCCTGTAAACAGCAGGCCCTTTCATCGTGTGGTATGTAGAGAGAACTGTGAAAGAAGCCAAGAGCTTCATTTTCTGTTTGGGTAAAATAATACTATCACTATCAGTATCCAAATTTTTATATTTGCCAGACCATAAAAATCTAAACGGGTAGAAAACCACTAAACATTCCATTTACAGAATGTATTAGCATTACTTATTACATGCATTATTGATGCTTCAAGAGGTGAAACAGCCTCTACATACAGAATGTAATATGATTCTCCCAGCTAAAAGGGTATATAGGGAACTGCTACTGAAACCCCTAAATACAACCACAACTATTTTATATTCTATCCAGTTATTGACACCCTGAGAAATGTTGTGCCTACCTACCTACTCCACTGTGCCTACCTACTCCACTGTGCCATTTAAGAGCTCGATACATCATGAAAGAAGTGTGTGTAATGCATATTTATACACACTGATATCTCCACACACACAGGATTTCCCTACATGTAATACATTTCTAAAGCCATCTTTCTCATTTTTATTCATGTTAAGGCAGCTGATAGATGCCATTTGGTTTCTATGGGTATCAGTCACTTTTCTGTCAGATACTTTATATTTGAGCTGTTTAGTTCTTTGTGATATAAATGTCAGTTCTTTAGTATTTGTTTCACTGCGACAGCCTGACAGATGAATTATTAAAGATGCTTCTATGTTCTTCTCTGGAGGTCTGATCAAAAGATCATTTTTGACAGGTGACGTGACATCAAGTGACTGTACTATGGTCTTTATGTCTGGAAAGGGCCAATGACCCCACACTGTGATGTCTTGTAAATCAAAAACAATTGCAACATCAAACAGAATATGCTGCAAACATGACAATAAAACACAATACAACATGTGGAGCTGAAAAATAGAATCTGTTCTTGTCCATCTCCAGAGTTTGGAAACACCGTTATATGCTGAGTTTTAAGTGCCAACCATGCTACATTCAGCTGCTTAGCCTGTATTTACTGATGGATATGAGATTTATATTCTAGTTATCTGCCCACCTTAACAAGATATAAAGGCAGCAGTTGTTTAATCATTTGTTAGCTCTGTGGAAGACACCATGCAGTCTTCTGTTAAATGCCATGCTGCTGCAGTTTGAAGGCAGCATTACTCAAAGTGGCACTAGACTCAGGAGTTGAATCTTAAACTGCATTCAAGTACCTTAACTGTTAACAAAAATGTATCTTATTTGTGTATCGGTCGGCTGTAGATCCTCAAATCATCTCTGAATTGGTGCTGACACTGTCCTTCCTTCTGGAGGGTGGCTACTTTTGTTCCCCATGGTCCCTGTGTGTCTTGTAAAGTAGCCACCGCTCCAAGCTCCCTCCCGGGATGGATTACAATCTTAATTAGTAAACTAAACATGAGATTAATTCTGTGGTATATTGGTTCATAAAATGTGCTACTTAATTTTGCATATGAAAAGAATGTTAAATGCAAAAGTTTAATAAAAGCATCTAATAAAAAAAAAAGAAAAGATGCCCATAAATCTAACAGATGAAATTGTTTAAATGATCTCTACTAATGATGAGTGAAGAGGTATGTGGACATGTGTGTCTGGGGGAGGAGGTTAATCAGATCATTGACCACTGTGCACAGACTTTTCATCAAATAGTTGATGTCAGAGATTATAATAAGGATTCATAAATTCTAATTCAGCAGGTTAACCCCTTCACTACGGACGACGTACAGTGTACGTCGCTGTCATCTGGGCTGTTTAAAAAGCCGCCAGGGACCCTGTTTAAATGGCTTTACAATAGAAGCGATTCTGGCGGCTCAGCTGTCGCCAGATCGCTTCTATGGCCCGGAGAAGGGGTCGGCGGGGAGCTGGGGAGGAGATGGACGAACCTCCTTTCGTCGATCCCTTCCCCATTCTATGGGACCGGGAGCGATTTAGATTGCATCACTTCCGGTCCCTGGGCTGTCAGTGCTGGGCTCCTAAAGCCCAGTTATAAGCTATTGAAGTGCGATCTGCACTTCAATAGCTTATTTGGAGTGTAAAGGTGACACTTGGGGTCTTTTGGACCCCCAGCATCACCTTAAAGAGTACCTGTCACCACCATCTGCTATCGCATGGGGGGCTTGTAAGCCCCCCATGTGATAGCAATCCAAGTAAAGTAAAAAAAAAAAATTACCGTTTTTTAAAATTAAAATTATTCTAAAAATAATTGTTAAAAAATTGAAGGCCCCTGCGAGCACGCGCGTCGCCAAGTAAACACGCGTCGGGTGCGCCTACGTATGAAAAAGACAAACGCGCTACACATGTTGGGTATCGCCGGGCACCCCGGAGTGAGAGCAATAATTCTAGGGCCAGTATTTTTGGGTATCTCGAAATGAATGAACTGTGGAGGCTTGTAAAGCGTCGTCTATGGACTTTTTGGGGTACTGAAGTTTGTCGCCGTTTCATGAATGCACACCTGGGCATGTTGGGTATCTCTTTACTCGGTATATTTTTTTTTTTTAAATGGGTATTTTATTGTGTTTTGGGACATTTAAGTAAATTTTTTACTAAATTTTGGGGTTTAATAAGGAGTTGCGCTAATATTGTGCAACATAAAAACTTGCAACTGCCACCATTTTATTCTATAGGGTCTCGGTTTTCGGAAAATATATAATGTTTGGGGGTTTTAAGTAATTTACAGACCTAAAATGTGGAATATAACATGGGTGAAATTTTTTTTTAAAAAAAGGCCTCAGTCATGAAGGGGTTAATAGAATAGGAGTTATTTAAAAGTAAGAAGCCTTATAAGACAGATTGTTGTATTTTTTCCCATGTTGCCTCCTTTTGTCACACGTGTCAAATATTTCACTTTGTGTAAAGTTGTGGGAATGCGACATACAAAGGTGGAAAGTTCTGAGTAGTTCCTTAATGTGTTTTTGTTTCTGGTGGCGGAGTTCTTGTTATGTGGTAGAGAAATACAACTTCTGAGCATAAATACGTCTACATGTGTTACGTACAGTTTACGTGTTTCTTTTTTTCTTTTCCAGGTTAGCTGTAATTTTGAGCTTCATTTAAGAGGAAACGTCTATGTACAATATCAAACGTAAGTGTTATTATTTTGAATGTTCTATCCTGCGCCATGAACTGTACGGTTTGTCATTTTGCTTCCCTCTAGGCTTGCAGGCACCGTGCAGCTGTTGCTCTCCCTTGTTGAAAGTGTCCCGCTAATTTATATTGTAATTTAATGTCATCAAACAATAGCTTTTCCCTTTGTAGAAACCTATAGTAATTATGTATGAGAGTAGGATGCAAAAGGTTCCATCAGGCAAAGTTCTGTTTAAGACTTGTTATCAGATGAAGGTGAAATCCCAACTCCAGATATATATATATATATATATATATATATTTATTGAATAAAGTGGGAAAGGTTAGAATACCTGCTTCACTTGCTGAGATATCCTTTTCTTTTTTTGTCTCCTCCTCCTCCTCAGCACTCTGTCTCTAATACCACCTATTCTGCGCCATCTGTTTCTTACCTCCACTGTGCCCATTTTCCTCTGTGCTTGGTCTCTGCTCCCCTCCTCTGCATCCATTCTGTAAATGATATCTATTCCTGGATATATGCCGTCTCCTCCTCTCAGATCCCACTCTACCATTAGGCCAGGTTTACACAATTTTTTTGTAAATTTTTTTTTGTGTGGTTAAAATTGGCTTAAGGTGCATTTCAGTGTGTTTCATGCGTTTACAAGCCTTCACGTGCATTTCAGACCAGAGAAAATGAGACTAGCAGTATTTTTTTGGTCTGGACCGGCACAGACTGCGCTGGTGGGAACAGAGCCCAGAAATGCCATTGGGATGCTTTTTTTGGTCTGGGCGTGATCCGGACATGGTGTGAACAAGCCCTAATGTCGCCTCCTCTCCTCACTTGTCTCCATCGCTGATCCACGCTACCTCCTCTTCTATGGCTTTACCATCACAGAACCCCGCTTTGTTTGTTAGTATGGATAAGCTTTGACCCTTCACATCCACTAGTGAGGTGTTTATCACAAAGTATGTTTACCAGAACACTTGTTGGTCTGACACCTGTGAACATCTGCTCTAAGAAAATTGCATCAGCTAGCTACTTTGGCTATTCAAAGATGGCAGTATATGAGAGGAAGGAGAGCAATAGATGTCTTTTCGACTTTTTCTTATGTGTTTCTAAACTGCTGCAGGCAAAAATAACATACATTTATATTGTCACTATTTTGGCTTGGCTCATGTTTCAGAACTGCACATAAGAAGCTTGGAAGAAACTCAGATTTTTGCTTCATGTTGTCTTTTTGGCAGAGCCCAGATTAGAAGAAAAGTCACTATCTTATCTTCCCAAAACATCTGTCCTGTGAGCTGGTGATTGTTGTTGGTATCAATAAAATGCCTAATTCACAGGGGTGGGCATGCAGTGTTTACATTCTATTTTGCAGAGGAACTTCTGAAGTGCTTTGATATGTCCCAATCTAATCCCTTGTCATCAACACAGCTATGGGCTTCATGTTCATTAGACAAAATATCACCTGTTATTACAGTATTACTTAAAGGACAGCTACATACTTACCTCTCTGTGATGACAGCAGCCGCTCATGGAGTTCATATCCTCGGTGCAGAAATCTGTGTTGCTGGCCATGTCTGCACAGCAACTTCCCGTAGATGTGAATGGAGCAATACTCCTCCAGTAGACACTAGGCAGTTCTATGTTAGCTTAGCTTAGAGAACTGGGTATTTTTGAAGTAAAAGTGTAGTTGAACTTTATTGAGGTGCTATTATTAGTATAGAACGCACTAGCACTACAGGAATTGGTTTTGCAAAGCTTCACTTCCTTTTTTGTGCCCCAGAGGGAGCATTATCCTGTCTGTGGCACTCTGGTTAGGTAGTCTGTCAGCTATGGCTGGAGGATAAGCAACATTGGCCTTAGTCTTTGGCTATCAATCAGCACTGAACAAGGCACACCCCTAACATCTGAAACCAAGATGGCGGAGGCCTGCAGCAGAGGAGGCCGTATTATGTGCTGCTGTAACTTCTGTAGTTATATGGGTTTGTGCCTGGTGTTTTTTTTTGGTCTTATAAAGAGAAACAACATTTTGGTAATTGTGCCTGGGGCACAATTGCAAAGGGCAAAGCACTTGCCACCAGAATTGCCTGTGGTCTTCCTGCAGCTGAACTTTCACCATTACTCAAACGTTCTGCTTTATATCTCGGTGTGGAGGTGGTCATCTTGGTAGAGGCAGGGTTTGCTTACTGATGTCAGAGCCTCCAACAAGGAGAATGGTGAGCAGTACAATAGTGACATCACCAAATCTCCTAAGACTAGCAGTCAGAATCAGCAGTGCTTTAGATCTCACGCTGCAGATATACAGCTATATGAGACTGCAGGCACAGGAGTGTCTAAGCACCCTCATACCAGGAAGTGCATTGCTATTTTCCAATAGGAATTCAAGAAAAGGTAAATTTTTTTAGGGTACTGATTAGAAAGAAATCACATTTATAAATGTTCTTTATAACATTGCAAATCTCCCCTTTCTGAGTTCAGGTTTCACTTCATTAGTGCTGTTTTATAGTCCACTCCAGTAGTTGAAATACATAAAGGAGACGCAGCCTACATGCCCGGGTTTTTGGTTGTAGTAGTGCTCGAGTTTCTTTGGTCAGCTGTAGCTTGATGTCCTCAGAACAGCTTAGCTAAAACTGTGATTCTGAAGGCCAGGGATTCCCTTCTCGCCATTGGTCACAAAGTGAAGTTACCCAAACTCGGTTTGCAGACCCAGTTTTTGTTTCGTTCACGTCTGAAGTTACCATTGATCTAGATTGATTATTATAATTTTTTTAGGTATCACGGATCTTTTTCACATTCATATTTCTGTTCCAGGGAAGAAGAATGCTCACGGGCTTATTCTTTGTTCAATGGTCGTTGGTATGCATCCCGTCAGCTTCAATGTGAATTCTCAGCCGTTACCAAATGGAAATCAGCTATATGTGGTAAGAGGAGGAGCAACTCTCTCAGGATTAGCATGCACAGCCTTCTTTATTTGGTTTCTTTTCCTGTTAGTTGTCCTTTTATTACAGCATCTTACCCCTCAGAGTGCAGGCAGCCTCGATCCAGCAATTTTTACCTCCGACATGGACCAGACTGACATCTCAGTCTGCGTATGTGCTCCATGGCCCGTTTTATTTTTTTCAGGTGTGCCATACTTTGGGTGACCGCTTAGGGCTGTCATGACTAGGGCTACCCATAGAAATGAATAGGGCTGCAGAACACATATGCAGATAAAGTGGAAATTAACTTAAAAAGTAAAGGTTTGCTATGTTATAGGGAATTATGCCTATGAAGTTCCCTGATAAATGCACTTTTTGTCTTGAATTCATCTTGGAAAAAGTGCACTTCCTAGTTTTGTAAGGGTTCCTAGGCAATCCTTTGCCTAGAGCCTCATAGCTGCATATCTACAGCATGAGATCTGAGGCACTACTGCCTCCGACTGCTAGTCTGAGGAGAATAGGAACACAAACATACAGAGGGGTTTTCTCAAATTTGACTGCAGAAGTGGAAATACACTTTAACTTACTCTCCCTGTGAGCCCACCTGTTTCTCTGTGGAATTTGAATTTGGTTACCTTGGTACTTCAAAAACTTCCCTTTAAACCTATCAGAGATAATACATAAAGAACATCAAAAAACAAAACACCTTTCCTGGTGCAACTAATCTTTTTATTTTGCAAAAAGAAACGTGTAAATGATTGTACTCCCAATCGAGGCAGGTTAAAAACGTATGTTTTATGCAGTGACATCCCTTGTCTGTTACGGGGCAGCCTGCCTGGATTGCTAGAACCATTTCGGGGCTGGAGGAGGTTTCTATTTGGCGCTATCAGAGATAATGCCTTTCCACTGTCACTCAGAAGGCTGTTCTCCTTGTTGCTATCACCTCTGCAACGCTAGTCTGAACTGTTGGCTTCATCCTGTGAAGAACCCTTTTTAGTCTTACACAGGGACAAGGTGGTTTTAGGACCTAAAGTCTCCTTTCTAAGGTGGTTTTGACCTTTCACCTTAACCAGGGAATCTTGCTCCCGTCCCTCTGTCCGGCCCCAGTACATCAGCAGATTTCTCTTCATTGTCCGGATGTAGTTCAAGCTCTACGTGTCTACCTCAGAAAGACTGACTCTATCTTTGTCATCCTTTATGGTTCCTGTAAAGGGGAACCAGCTTCTTATTCCACCATTTCATGGTGGCTCAGACAAATCCTCAATCAAGCTTATGGTCTTAAGGATTGGGTTCTACCCTTTCCTGTCATGGCACACTACTAGGTCTGTGAGTGCTTCTTGGCATTAGCTAACGCTTCCCCAGTTTTGCAAGACCTCTACCTTGTCTTCTGCTCTGTTTTACCAGGTGGTTGTTGGGGCTTCTTCTGATGCCAGTTTTAGGCATAAGGTTCTTCAGGTGCCTCTTTGAGCTGCAGACAGTCCCCAGCTTGTTTATAGTTGGGTTTGTTTGTCTTTTGTTGCTGTATTACCCACCTCTCAGTTGGACTGCTTTTGATGTCCCGAATGTCTCTGTATTCTGTGTCTTTCTACTCAAAGAGCATTGTTCACAGCCATTAGGTTGGTGGTAAGAATGTGGATCTCTACCTCTACCCCACACTGTCTAGTTGGATGGCCGAGCTTGATCAAATTGTGTAGTATGAACGCATTACGTATCAATATAAGGTGATTAGCAGTAATACATTTTCTTTCATTTGGTCCCAGTGGTTAAACTCCCGTACTTCTTCTTGAACTATACAGGTTACCTTTTATTTATAAGCGTTTGGTGCATCTGATATTTTTTATACTGTGCATTTAGTATAGTTGTCCTTATATTTTACACTGCAACTAATTTATACTATTATGGTGCAAGTTTCACTGTTTTCTATTTACTGACGAGTGCTAGAGTCGTGTGTTTTTCTTTTTGTACCGTTACCTGTTTTTTTTGTGCTTAAAACTTCAATAAAAATGATGTGATTAAACCAAAAAAAAAGATTTTGTGTCCCTCAATGAATGATAAAGAAAATAGGAATTTTGTAATTCTGTATACATCGTAAAATCCTTTTCTCGGAGTTCATTGAGGAACACCGTTCCCACCCCTCTGTTTGTGTAACAAAGCAGTGCCGAGATCAAGACCATAAACACAGGGGCATGCTGGGAGTGGGAGGGGTTATACCAGGCTGGTCGCTGGTTTTTTGTTTTCCAGTGTCCAGGAGAATTACCCAAATGTCTCTGAATCGTGTCCCTCAGTGAATGTGAAGAAAATGATTTTACAGTGCAGTACAAAAACCTGTAATAGTGGTCCCACCTCAGTTTTAGAAAACAGTGTCCCCATTCCCATAGCAGCCATACACTTGTAGAAATATTATTATGTTTTGTGCTCTTCATTTTAAAAAGTCTTATGTTTTCATTAGACTAGAATTCCTTATGTATTTCCACATTTGCAGGCAAATTTGAGAAAACCCCTCAGTATGTTTCTTATGCGTTCCTATTCACACAGCATACCGAAAAAAATCATTTTTAAAAACCTATTTCTTACCTTTTTTAGATCTTTTGTTGCAGAAGGCAACATGTTTGAATCTAGATTTTTCTGAGCACCTTCAGAGTGATCTGTCCTTATATAAAGACTTAAGCTGGCCATACACTGCACCGGGGGCTGAACGAAAAAAATTGAGCAGATTCCTCTATCAACGATACGAGCACATTGATTGAGGAATCCCTGCTGTTTCTTTTGTATTCTGACAGCGGCCGTCAGCCGCTGTCGGTATACCTGAACAGAACTGGCAGCCATTGGCTGCGTTTGTGCGAAGAATTTCCGACCAGGCTCCTTCGCTCAGCTGATCGAGGGATGCCGGTTGAAAGGGTGCCGACAGCAGAACTTCGCACATTGTATGTCCACTTTTAGGACTGAAACTTGAGGATTGTGTTTCTTTCATTAACTTTATTAACATTTTGAATGCAGAAGCCAGGGTTGTAATAATTTAACCCCTCACCTTACAAACGGGGAGAAGCAAGTAGAAATGTTAACCCTTTAGAAGCGAAGACACCCTAACCCACGTGAAATGTTCAAAGTACCGCAGCACTGAATACTGAAAAATGGCCTGGGTGAAACACTATGGCCTTTAAGTGGTTAAACTGCAAGAAGCATTTTTTAATTATTTCTTCTGCTATGTGAATGAGAACATGTAACACTTATGACATAAATGTTATCCTAATTTGGCTACGAAAGTGGAAATATACTTTTCCAGACCCAAAAACCTAACTTCCAAGTTGTGTAAGATGCATAAGATTAGGTGTCCAGTAAGCAAAGCAATGTAAGTGGCATTGTTAGATATTGTAAAATAACCTGGGTACATTTCCTGCCCACTTATGAATAGAATATGGAATTCTTCTTTCATATGCTTCAGTTTCTAATCGTTTCCTTGCTGATTGCACGTTTCATTTTTTTCGAAGGGTTGTTTGAAAGACAAAAATGTCCTCGAGGAAAGAATTGTAACTTTCTGCATGTCTTCAAGAACCCAAATAATGAATTTTGGGAGGCTGACCGAGACCTTAACATGTCACCAGACCGATATAACTACTCTGAGCGTTGGGAGAGGTCAAACCGATATGATGACCATGGATTTTCCAGGAGACGCCGCAGCCCAGAGAGCAGAAGAAATGGGGAATCGAGCAGGAAAAAGAGCAGCCACAAGAAAAACAAGAAAAAACATCGTTCCCATAGGTCAAAAAGCAAAGAAAAGAGGTCACACAGCAGGGGTAGAAAAAAGCGCAAGCGCAAAAGCCGAAGTCTGTCCCGCTCTAGAAGTCCCATCAAGAAATTTAGGAGCCACTCTAGATCCAGGAGCCGTGGCAGAAAAAGCCGTTCCAAATCCTGGAGTCGGGGCAGGAAGAGCAAGAGTCGCTCTAGATCCAGAAGCCGAGGCAGAAAAAGCAAAAGCCCCTCCGAATCCAGGAGTCGGGGCAGGAAGAGCAAAAGCCCCTCCAAATCCAGGAGTCGGGGCAGGAAGAGCAAAAGCCCCTCCAAATCCAGGTAAATTTATGGTACTTTTTTTGTTATATAGTAAAAAATAAAAACCCCAGTGGTGAATAAAAGCCACCAAAAGAAAGCTCTATCTGTCCCCAAAAAATGGTATGAAAATCGTTTCAGTAAAGTGTTGCATGACAGAATAAACATCAGTCAAAGTACCGCAGCACTGAATACTGAAAAATGGCCTGGGTGAAACACTATGGCCTTTAAGTGGTTAAACTGCAAGAAGCATTTTTTAATTATTTCTTCTGCTATGTGAATGAGAACATGTAACACTTATGACATAAATGTTATCCTAATTTGGCTACGAAAGTGGAAATATACTTTTCCAGACCCAAAAACCTAACTTCCAAGTTGTGTAAGATGCATAAGATTAGGTGTCCAGTAAGCAAAGCAATGTAAGTGGCATTGTTAGATATTGTAAAATAACCTGGGTACATTTCCTGCCCACTTATGAATAGAATATGGAATTCTTCTTTCATATGCTTCAGTTTCTAATCGTTTCCTTGCTGATTGCACGTTTCATTTTTTTCGAAGGGTTGTTTGAAAGACAAAAATGTCCTCGAGGAAAGAATTGTAACTTTCTGCATGTCTTCAAGAACCCAAATAATGAATTTTGGGAGGCTGACCGAGACCTTAACATGTCACCAGACCGATATAACTACTCTGAGCGTTGGGAGAGGTCAAACCGATATGATGACCATGGATTTTCCAGGAGACGCCGCAGCCCAGAGAGCAGAAGAAATGGGGAATCGAGCAGGAAAAAGAGCAGCCACAAGAAAAACAAGAAAAAACATCGTTCCCATAGGTCAAAAAGCAAAGAAAAGAGGTCACACAGCAGGGGTAGAAAAAAGCGCAAGCGCAAAAGCCGAAGTCTGTCCCGCTCTAGAAGTCCCATCAAGAAATTTAGGAGCCACTCTAGATCCAGGAGCCGTGGCAGAAAAAGCCGTTCCAAATCCTGGAGTCGGGGCAGGAAGAGCAAGAGTCGCTCTAGATCCAGAAGCCGAGGCAGAAAAAGCAAAAGCCCCTCCGAATCCAGGAGTCGGGGCAGGAAGAGCAAAAGCCCCTCCAAATCCAGGAGTCGGGGCAGGAAGAGCAAAAGCCCCTCCAAATCCAGGAGTCGGGGCAGGAAGAGCAAAAGCCCCTCCAAATCCAGGAGCCGGGGCAGGAAGAGCAAAAGCCCCCCCAAATCCAGGAGCCAAGGTAGGAAGAGCAAAAGTCGTTCTGGATCCAGGAGCCAAGGTAGAAAGAGCAAGAGCCATTCTAGATCCAGGAGCCCAGGCAGGAAGAGCAAGAGCCATTCTAGATCCAGGAGTCGGGGCAGGAAGAGCAAGAGCCATTCTAGATCCGAAAGCCCAGGCAAGAAGAGCAAGAGTCGTTCTAGATCCGGGAGCCCAGGCAGGAAGAGCAAGAGTCGTTCTAGATCCGGGAGCCCAGGCAGGAAGAGCAAGAGTCGTTCTAGATCCGGGAGCCCAGGCAGGAAGAGCAAGAGTCGTTCTAGATCCAGGAGCCCAGGCAGGAAGAGCAAGAGTCGTTTTAGATCCAGGACTAAGGAGAAAAACCCAGAAAGCCCAGATGCATAAACAGAAGTTTGTCAAGGTATGTACGTTACATATTACCATTTGTAGAGGAGGGAAAGGAATTCTATGAACGACATAAAATACATGGCGCTTTTTGTCACATAGTTATGTGGCAGGATGTAGTGACTAGATCTGATGCTACCGGGAAGTGTTGGGGCATTGCCTCGTAGAATGGAATAGCAGAGTCTTAAAAGCTGTGGGTATGTGAAGGTACCTCTAGGTGACCGATTCAGTTTGAGCCATTCAGATCTAAACTTACATAATGCTATCATAGTGACAGAAGTGAGGGGTAGTTGGGAAACAGTCATGGTAAGTGCCTCTGGGACGTCCTTGAATTGGCACCGAGGGAGTGGCAGGGTGCAGCGTTGCATATACCTATCCAAAAGTAATGTGTTCAGATTGTACACGGAACCTGTATAGCTGTTTACTTGGGGTCTCTAGTCCTCGCCTGTGGAAATAACAAGGTGTGTCATTGTATATGACAGAGAATGTTGCTTGATAGAAGTACTAGATGTGTGACCAAAATGTCTGAACATTTATTTTCCAGGTTGGGGGACGCACACGGGGGACCCATTGAACTGACTGCAGGCTGCATGACTGCATTGTCTGTATGGAAATCTCAGAATCTTCATGTTATCACCTGAGGAATCTTCGATCACACAAATGGCCCAGTTCTTAGGCTGTTTCTTTGTATATTTCTATCAGGAAATGTAAATATTTTTAAATAAAAATTTGTTTTAAAAGCTTGTTTGGGGGCATTGCTGTAAAAAACGAGAACATGTCTGTGTATAAAGGTTGTTCAGCATTCTTTCTTCAAAAAAATCTGAGCTTTATATTTTTAACGTACTTTCAGGCTCATTCGCATTAGATTAGAGGATGCTGAGGGACATTCCATCGCCAGATGGGTATAGAGGCTGCAGGGACTTTATTTTAGACCCTAGATGAAAAAGAGTACTTCTTTAAGGGCAGGTTCACACTATTTTCAGGACCAGATTTGGTCCCGGAAATGGTGTGAACTTGCCCGCAGTTCCAGTGCATTCCAGACCAGACAAAATGGGACATGCAGTATTTTTCTGGTCTTGTACGGACTGCGCTGTTGTGAACAGGCCAGAAATAGCATAGGGATATATTAGGATGCATTTTGGGTCCAGAAACAATCTGGTCTGGAGATGATCTGGATACACATCCAGATCATCTCCAGACCAGATTGTTTTGGGATCTGAAATACATCCTACTGTATCCCTATGCTATTTCTGGCCTGTTCACAACAGCGCAGTCCGTACAAGACCAGAAAAATACTGCATGTCCCATTTTGTCTGGTCTGGAATGCACTGGAACTGCGGGCAAGTTCACACCATTTCCGGGACCAAATCTGGTCTGGATAATAGTGTGAACCTGTCCTTAAATTGCCCTCTATAGAACAAAATTCATTATCCTAAGATCTATTGGATACATCTGACCTCAGTGGATTCCCTATGATCCATCCTATTTAAGATTACTGAAGTTGGAGTACTCGCTTTGACATGGCAAGCAAAATCTTGTAGATTTTAGTTATCAATTGAGGTGCCTTCCTAGGTGGGCCCTCACCAGCGTCGGGATTCCCCCAATCAGACAATATGGGGGCTGATTATGTATCACATATGCTATGACGTTCTAATGTGGTTCCTGATGAAGCATACCTGCAAAACGCGTTGAACCGCAGTAACAAGACATTTAATAAGTATATGCAGAGAATGGCAATCTCAGACATGTAATATTAATACACTACTTAGTGCTTTTAAAGATGCTGAATGGCATGCAGACAACGTATATTCTATACTGTATACGGTGGTGCCATCTACCAGTTGTTCCAGCCCCCAATAGATTTTGGGGTACATCAGTATGGTGTTTGGAGATATCCCTAAGATATATATTACTTTGATTGCCTTGTGCCCCTGGGGAACCATAGTAGGATAACAAATGATGCCAGTTGGTCTGCTGTAGCTATAAAACTGCTCCTTCAGAAGTAGTTGGACATACTTGAGCTATTGCATCACTGATTAGGGATATAAAGTCAATTGAGGGAAAATAAATTCTACCTAGACACTACGGAATAGTGTGGACATGAAGATAAAGAAGGGAGATCAACTGAAGACGTTCACCCAGTGTAGCATGGACAGGTCTTACACCTTTCTCAATGGAGAAATAGCCATTTACAGATGCAATGTTTCCCTAGCAATACAGGAAGCCATATAGGGAATTAAACGCAAGGATACTCAAGGCAAGTCCAACAATAACATCAACTATCTGAACCAAAAAGATGACTAGTCAAAAATCCAGACTCTTCAACTCGAGGAAAGAGATTGAATAAATAAGGAAAAATACTGTAGGAGGAGCAAACGTCCAGATAGTGTGATTTATATAGGACCTGACTGACCTGAAGGAAGCTCTGCAATGAGTTCCCCATAGATGATACATAAAAAAGGAGGCACAAGGGTGGACATTATATTTAGTGCTGTTGAAGAGCTACTTGTAGTTCGGAAGGTCTCGGAAGCAAAAGCGCCTACAATGGACATGTGAGCATCACAACTGGACCATGGAGCAATGGAAGACGGTGACCTGGTCTGATGAATTAATTTCTTTTCCATCATGTGGATGGCCGGGTGCTGAGTGTTGCTTACCTAAGAAAGCACCGGAATGAACTATGGGAAGAAAAACCGGGGGAGGCAGTGTAATGCTTTGGGCAATGATGTGTTGGGAAACCTGTAGTGCTTTGACCATGTACCACTTACCTAAACATTGTTGCTGACCAAGTACAACCCTTCTTGGAGATATTACCTGATGGCAGTGACCTCTTTCAGCAGGATAATGCATACTGACCCACTTCAAGAATGGTTTGAGGAACACAACAATGAGTTTGAGGTGTTGATCTGGCCTCCAAATTCTCCGGATCTCAATCCAATTGAGCATCTCTGGGATGTACTAGAAAAACAAGTCTGATCCATGGAGGAGCCACCTTACAACTTATTAAAGGATCTGTTACTGATGACTTGGTGCCAGATACCACAGCGTACCTTCAGAGGTCTAGTGGAGTCCATGCCTCCATGGGTCAGGGCTGTTTTGGTTGCAAAAGGGGGACCTACTCAATCTAAGGGGGGTTGTCATAGTGTTATGAATGATTGACATATCAGATCACACAGGGGTTGGGTCAACTACATTGACTGCTGTACAAACAGTCTTCAAGTTTAAGGGCTTGTTCACACGATGTCTGGAGCAGATCTGCAGTTGCAGTGCTATGCGTTTTTGACGCGTTTTTTTGCTGGAGTGGGGCTGTCAGTTTGTTAGCTGCAGTGCGTTTTTGACGCGTTTTGCGTTTCCGGACCGTATCCTGACCGGACAAAATGTGACCTGCGGTATTTTTTTTCTGTCCGGACCTGAACAGACTGCCGCACGTGAGAACTGTAGCCCATAAAACACATAGGGATACATTGGGAGCGCACGGGCCAGGACAGAATCCGGACGCCGTGTGAACAGGCCCTAAGCCATCTCAAAAATCATGTTTACAACAAAACCAAAAAGCCGACTAGGGAATCTTTCTCTACAATGTATTAACCAATCACAGCAGTGACTCACCCTGCATGTTTGAGTGGGATGGAAACCCACTCAAACACAAGAACATACGCACTGCATGCAAAATAAAGCCTCTAGCGGGAAATCAATTCTGAACCTCTGCGTTGCAAGATAAACGTTCTGACCACTGTGCACCCCCCCCCCCCCCCCAC